GATAAAGAGAGGCAAATGAGAAAGACAGTAACCCTGGATAGATCCACACATTCATGACATTCCATAAGACCCCTCAAATTGTTCCAAACAACCGGTAATTTTGAAAAAAGAACAAATAGTTTGAACTTACCGCTTACAATTAAATGTGTCTGCCGAGTTGGTTCAGTCCATTTAACTGACATGACTGATGCATATAATTCATCGCACGCATGTGTGACGTCACTATTGAAGAAAAACAAGTCGCGCTTAATCATGACTGTTTTCATGTACTGATATGTTTCCCGCGCCAAAAACCCACACTGTCAGATGGCGCGGGCACATATGACTACATGAAAAGTTGTTGAGTAAGTGCAACTTAACTTGTTTTTCTTCAATAGTGGACGTCACACACGCGCGATGAATTATGCATCAGTCATGTCAGTGAAATGGACTGTACAACTCGGCAGACACATTTAATTGTGAGCGGTAAGTTCAGACTATTTTGTTCTTTTTTCAAATTAGCCTACCGTTGTTTGAAGAATTTAAGGGGTCTTATGGAATGTCATGAATGTGTGGATCTATCCAGGTTACTGTCTTTCTCATTTGTATTCTCTTTATCAGTTTTTTGGCGCCTTTGTCCTTGCATGCACAAAATGCATACCGTCATGACGACCGGTACCTGTCACCAAAGTATGCCCAAATCGGTGGAGCGTTTATACGGAGGGTACCGTATAGTTACATGTAAGTTCAACGCTCCACTCAGTAGAGCTATGTGAGTGCATGACTCACAGTCACATTCACAACTTGAACTTTGAAGTTGAACTTGTCATGCTTGTCGCATCAAAACTTGGCAATCTTGAGAAATCCTCATAAACAGTCATTGTCATATTCCACTAGAAAAGAATGTTGCAACCTGACGCACATTTTTCCATCATACATTGTTTCAATTCATGTTGGTCAGTCATTGCAAAAATGTTGAAAAAACATTCATCTGGGAGTGGGACTGAGAAACATTCCCACTTGTTTGAAAATGCTTTGAACGTGTGTTGAAAATGCTCTCAACTCCCATAGGTTGTGTACACAACCAAAGCAAAGAAATGGCATCAGGATACTTAGCCCGACTGCATCTGGCCGTACAGTACTATCGCAAGCTCTGTAGTACGGCCAGATGCCCAATGCTTCCCTAAACGCTGAACTCTGATGTAGCGATTTTGCTACCGATTTTGATCGAGATTATCTTCTCATCCAGGACAGAAATTTCCAAAGTTAAGGTTCCTAGTCGTAAAGAAACTCATACCTTTTTGAAAGAAACGTTCTTTTATCTAAAAATCTTCATCCATCTGACCAAAAAACGACTTTCAATCATCATCTCCCACGAATATCGTCCCGAAAATGTCCCTCCATGCGATTTCAAAATGGCGGCCGTGTTGTTTATGCATTATATGCGGGCGCCAGGCGGGCTTGAGCAAGAGTATTAATATGCATTATTCAGTTCATGACCTCATGTTTGTATGGCCAGCCGCCCCGCGCGCCTGGCAAACGTCATGAACTAAATGCATATTCATGATCTTGCCCAGTGCGCCCGCATTCCTTTAATTGTTGAATTGCTTACAGTTAAATTGCTTATGAGTTAATTGTTGAATTAAAACAGTTCAATAATAAAACCCTGATACTTTGAAAGGTTTCTTTTCTTATTTTATATTTTGGACAGAGGTGAGTTATAAAACACATATGGACTGGCATAGTTCGATCCCTAGTGCACGTCCATGTCCCCCTTGGGCCTGGGAGTGACCAGAAGAGGGTCCTATTTCCCTCGGCCTTTAGCCTAGGGATATAAACCTCTTCTGTCACTCACAGTTCCTCGGGTTGCATAGACGTGCACTAGTGACCTCATTGGCAGTCATATGTGTATAATACATGTAATTCCAATAACCTAAAAGTGGATTTTTGTGCTCACATAGTAACAGGGCCCTTAACTACACAATTGCCAGTGGGGGTACCTAAACTTCTAGATATTGCAATATTTCAGATGATATTGGACTTTAGAGCACGTTCAATGGGTGGATTTATTTCTTTAGGAAGAATACGTTTGTATATTAATAGTCGAATATAAAATTGACCAAGTTGCCAAAATGGCACAGGCATGATTGTGATGGACAGGACTCCCTAATGATTTATTTGATTACCTCCTCAAGGGATTGCCATTAGATCAACTCATCATCCCTATATCAAATTCAAGGGTATTTGAAGGTAAGGTAATGCAATTAATATGTGATTTACTGTTGTGTCATTCCACATTTGGACCCTTGCAAGTTTACCGACATAAATGCGCAGCGATGGCATCTGAAGTGGCTAGTGTGAGTCTGGAAGAAGACAACGGTGCAAGTGACAAGCCAACTGGTACACAGCAAACTCCATCATCCTCCGAGAGAGCAGATGATGTGGTTCCTATGGAAACAGATGAAGCAACTGAAGACCAAAGGCCAGAAACTGAGGTAAGCGTCAACATTTCAGGAGTTGCCTGATTGCAAGTTATGCAAAAGTCCACGTGAAAGAATAATAAGAATGAAAGGATTTACAGCATTCGCATTACTTAATATTTTTTTTTTATCGTAACCTGTTGTATTTACTATGCACTGTAACATTTTGAAATAACATGGCAGCAATTTGATATTTACAATCACTGTCTTGTGTTTTTCTCCAATTTTTTTTAGGATAAACCAAGCAGTGATGCCGACCAACTGACTGCTTCCAATGAGGACGAAGACTGGAGCAGAGCTCAGCAATGCTCGTCAGCTTTTTGTCATTGAAGTATTTCAGTGTAAGCTGTGCTCCAGTTTCAACTCAACACGAAAGACGGCCATCACCGAGCATCTAAAGGTACATGTGGCTAGCATCACATCATACCTTGTTATGGCCCAACTATAGCAATGGTCCAAAGTGTAGTTGGGACAGTCCCAACTGTAGTTAGGACAGACCTTGCTGTAGTTGGGACAGTCCTGGTTGTAGTTGGAACAGTCCTTGCTGCAGTTGGGACAGCCCTTGCTGTAGTTGGGACAGTCCTTGCTGTAGTTGGGACAGTTCTAACCGTAGTTGGGACATTCCTTGCAGTAGTTGGGACAGTTCTACCGTAGTTGGGACATTCTTTGCAGTAGTTGGGACAGTTCTAACCGTAGTTGGGACAGTCCTTGCAGTAGTGGGACAGTTCTAACTGTAGTTGGGACAGTCCTTACTGTAGTTGGGACAGTCCTTACTGTAGTTGGACAGTCTTTGCTGTAGTTGGGACAGTCCTTACTGTAGTTGGGACAGTCCTTACTGTAGTTGGGACAGTTCTAACCGTAGTTGGGACATTCCTTGCAGTAGTTGGGACAGTTCTAACCGTAGTTGGGACATTCTTTGCAGTAGTTGGGACAGTTCTAACCGTAGTTGGGACAGTCCTTGCAGTAGTTGGGACAGTTCTAACTGTAGTTGGGACAGTCCTTACTGTAGTTGGGACAGTTCTAACTGTAGTTGGACAGTTCTAACTGTAGTTGGGACAGTCCTTACTGTAGTTGGGACAGTCTTTGCTGTAGTTGGGACAGTCCTTACTGTAGTTGGGACAGTTCTAACCGTAGTTGGGACAGTTCTAACTGTAGTTGGGACAGTTCTAACTGTAGTTGGGACAGTCCTTACTGTAGTTGGGACAGTTCTAACTGTAGTTGGGACAGTTCTAACTGTAGTTGGGACAGTTCTTACTGTAGTTGGGACAGTCCTTACTGTAGTTGGGACAGTTCTAACTGTAGTTGGGACAGTCCTTACTGTATTGGGACAGTCTTTGCTGTAGTTGGGACAGTCCTTACTGTAGTTGGGACAGTTCTAACCGTAGTTGGGACAGTTCTAACCGTAGTTGGGACAGTCCTTACTGTAGTTGGGACAGTCTTTGCTGTAGTTGGGACAGTCCTTACTGTAGTTGGGCAGTTCTAACTGTAGTTGGGACAGTCCTTACTGTAGTTGGGACAGTCCTTGAAGTAGTTGGGACAGTTCTAACTGTAATTGGGACAGTCCTTACTGTACTTGGGACAGTCCTTGCTGTAGTTGGGACAGTCCTAACTGTAGTTGGGACAGTCCTAACCATAAATGGGACAGTCCTTACTGTAGTTGGGACAGTCC